CATAAAGATCGGTCGAGCCGTTTAGGAGGAGTTCGACCACAAACTACATGAGATTTTTTTATATTAGAAGATTGTATTTCTTTATTTGGATATATGTAGGAATGTACTTGCACATACACTAAAAAATCCATTTTTATTTATGTATTTACGTACATATGTAGTATTTTCAAATATAAAAACTCAAAACGTTAAAATATTTATAAACTAGTGGTATTTTAGCAGTAAAATGTTTCTTGTCTATGTAGTGTATATATTTTAATGACAATTATTACATACGAGTATTAAAATAGAACAAATCTAATCGGTGCTATCAGGATTAGTTGTGGCAAAGGAGCCGGCGGTGATAGATGTTGCCATCGATGAAATCGTCTCCACCGATTCATTTAGTTTTCGCTTGAATGCCTGCAATGCATCCAGGTGGTATATCTGTTGTAAACCGGTATTTCGTTGTATGGCAAGCATGTAAACATTTAATTTTCCGCTATCTGCCAGCAGTGTGGGCATATAGAACGTGAAATAAATGCGCTTTAAGCCTGGGCAACTGTCGTCGACATCTGCATCCAAATCCTTATTGCCACCAGCGCTAACCAACTGATTTGTATAGGAGCGGTACACCCGCAACACTTGTACCGATTGGAAATGTGCAATATAGAGGAATGGTTCGCGGTATATGAAACCAGTAGGAGTATATTCCCAATTCAAATCATACGGTCGGGAACGACAACCGTATTCGTCTACAAAGATACCACACTCCATAAAGCAGAGCAAAAACTCTTGACGCGATACACGAATGGCTACAACTGGCTGACAGTTGCGTATGTGAGACAGCGATTGATCTGCCATGTCAACAAATTCTTCTGCTGCATAAGTTTCCAAATCGATTTCGAAAAATTTATCCGAACTAACGATGGCGGTGTGACGCGTAAAAATAATGGACGATACGGGTGTAGCGGTATCTAGTGCACGCACAGGTGTAAATTTTTGTTGCTTTAAATCGTAACGCATAATTACAATACGTGATGATGTTGCAGCTATGGCCACCGAGTCCAATGCATTCTCCGCTTCTGATGATATCTTTACCAACTGCCATTTTTCGTTAGTGGCGCGGTTACAAAATGGCAAATCTAGCACAGACGCTTCCAGAGTGCTCTTCACGTACGACGTTGAGGATTGACTTCGTGACATCAGCTGACGGAAATCGCATTGAAACAACGACTCGCCTCGTGCGCCAACCAACACAGCTTTGGCAAGAGGCAACGAAACAGCTATGCTGCTAACCGAATCGATACCCGCAATGTGCATTAGTCGCTGTGGCTTTTGAATATGCAGTGCGAAGAGACCTGTATTGCAACCCAAGAGCACAATCTTCTGATCTTCGATTTCATAGGCACAATTGACTTCCAATGGCTCTGAATTTGGACCATTATGTTGCTGTTCTACACTGAATATCAAAGTACCGGCGTATTCGGCATTCGATGCGTCGGAAGAAGAGTCAGCTTTATTTTCAATGTCATCTAATTTACCCTCGTAAGAGTATTTCGAAAGCGAATCTAAATCACTTTGATCAGCGCAGTGCTTCGTTGCAATTGCGTTATGTACCGGAGCATTGCTGGATTCATCTCCGCACGGTGTTTGCACATCGCTACGACATTTGCGATGTGCTGCAACTTTGCACTCTTTGCATTTCCAGTACGGTGAGCCGGCTACTAATGGCTTCTGGCACGCAATGCAAATACTTGCGCTACTGTTGGTCTCTTGCAGGGCTAACTCGAAACGGTGATGCGTTTGACTTTCTTTCTTGAAATTATGGTGTGCATTAGAGGGAATTACGTTACCACCCTTCTGACTTTGTTTACATGGCGATTTTGACAATGTGCTTGCGGGTTTTGTACCGCCATCATGTTGTATATTATCTTCATTTTTTGGAAGGCTTTTAAGAGGTGATCTCATACCGCCGGTTGAACTAGTAATGGTTTTGCTGACATCTAAGAATATATAGAAACATGATATTCAAATTTAATAGTAAAATATAAGCTTTACCATTCATTTTGTCAATCTGCTCCTGCAGTGTTTTGCAACGTTGCTTTTCACGGCGTAGCTCCTCCTGCAATGTGCGGTATAATATCGATGCTTCAACTGCGGCTGGTGATATATTCTCTTTTCTGCCAGTATTACTATGTGCGCCACTCCCAAAGATTTTTTCTGCTAATGTTAGCTTCTTCTTTTGAGATAAATCTTCAACCTTTAATTGCAAATAATCAATTAACTTCTTGTGCTGCGCTAATGTTGCTTCGGATTTGATGTCGCGCTGCACATAGAAAGACTCCTTCTCTGCCATTATTTCTTGAAGCTCTTCAATTTCTGTGTGTAATTCATTTGCATTTGCAAGCGAGTGTCTAAGCTCCTGCTGCAAGCGTTCATAATCTTCTTTGGCATGGAAAAGTTCAGAAAGTATGCGCGCATTTTCTTCTTTTAACAGAGTCAATTCCCGTTCGAGATTCTCATTGATTGCTTGCAAACTGGAAGCCTCATTGGTGAGGACTTCAACGCGCTCTTGCGATTGGAACAAATTGTTAGTTTGCTCCATCAATTGTTGCTGCTGAGCTATTAACTTTTTCTGTGTCTCAGCCAAATTTTCATCAGTTTCCTTCATTTTAGCACTGAGCGCATTTACACGCGACTCAGAAGCCCTCTTTTTTGCCTGTTCTTCTGATAATTCCTTGCGAAGTTGTGCTATGGTGTCGTCCTTTGAACGCAGTGTCACATTTAAATTATCAAGCTTCTCTTGATATGTCGTATTACGCTTTTGTTCGCTTTCTAACATACTTTCCACTTCAGTGAGTTGGTTATCGGTAATTGTGCAGGCATACTTGAGACGCTCATAATTGTCTTGTAAGTTTTTCAACTCGATTTTAACTTGGGTTGATACATCACATGCTGCATTGCTCCTGTCACGCTCTTCATTGAGTTCGCGTTGTAAGCGTTTATTTTCCAGCGATAGTGCATCAATCTTCTGCTGAATTGACTGATGTTTTTGGCGTAGTTCTGTTAGGCGTTCCTCTAACTTTTGAACATTGGAAATATGTTCAATAATCTGTGAAGACATTTAATCGCGATTGTTATATATATTTTACTGTATTAAATATATGTATGCATGAACATATGTAGTATATATCATGGTGCAATATATATATATATATATCTTTTTTTTTTTCTACGTCAGGTGAAGTAATAAAACAGTTTTCTAGCTTTATTTTCTGACATTAAATAAGACAGTGTCAAAATCTTTCTTTTCACTCTAATTACTTCACTATTCAATAACTGGCCGCTTACTGTTTTTTTTTATAAAATTGCAAGGTCCGCATCAATGAGTTTAGCTTCAAAATCTCTAATCTAATCTGAAATTAAAGTCCCTAATATGTCGGCCGCTGTGGTATAGTGGTAAGCAGTGCGCGCTTCCACTCCGCAACGCCTGGGTTCAAGCCCTGGTCAAAGTAACATCGCAAAAAAATATAGAAAAAAGGTTTTTTCTTAACAGCGGTCGTCCCTCAGCAGGCAATGGCAAACCTCCGAGTGTATTTCTGCCATGAAAAACAGCTTCTCATAAAAATACAATCGCCGTTCGGAGTCGGCGTAAAACTGTAGGTCCCTCCGCTTTGTGTGACAACTTCAAGGCGCACGCCACAAATCGGAGGAGAAGCTCGGCCAAACACTAACATATGTGTAAGCGCCAATCTATTATTATTAATGTGCTTACCTCCGATTTACACTGCATGCGTTCTTGTTCCGCTTTCTCCCACATGCGGTGCTCTTTCATCACATCGCGCTTCAATGAATTTATCTCGTCGCGTAACTCGCGTATACGTTCATCACGCTGTTTTGTCTCACCCTGTGCCTCTTTGTATTGACGCAGTGCGTCATCTTTTTCCGCTTGCACTTTTTTCATTTTCTCCTCAGTCAATTCCATTCGTCTTTGCGTCATTTTCCTATCAGTAAGCGCTTCTTCTAATTTTTTCTCAACTTTCCATAACGAAAGATTAGCGGTGCGTGCCGCTTGTCGCTCGACAATCATTTGTTCGCGTACAGCCGCCAGACGATCTTCTAGTTTCTCGTTCTGTTTTTCCAGCATGTCACCGACGCTGCTTGGTATATGGCGAGGCGCTGCATGTGGACCACCATTGTTTCCATTTGCACCACCTTTGAGCGGTGAATGTGACAGTGCTTGTTCATTGAATTTCTCCAACATTTCTTCCAGCTTTTCAACTATCGCTTGTAGCTTGTCGGCCCGCACCTTTTGCGTATTTTCATTTTCTTTTGCTGCTTCTAAATCGGCGCGCAGCTGCTCTTCGATAACATGTAGTTCTGTTAATGAGCCTGGCGCGGTTTCGTAGGGCGTAGATTGTTGAGTTGCTAGTTCTGACTGAGCCAAGTTTTTACTACACTCCAGTACCTGCAACATTGCGGAATGAGAAGAGGGGTTAATAAATTTTAAGGAATTCTTATGTACGCAATGTAGCGAAAAATATTGCAATGATGATAAGGCATAACCTGCTTTGAAAATTTTCCGTTTTAACAATATGAACTTTAAAACCCAATCTAAGAGTTTGGGAGTTTAAAAAATTTCTTAAAACAAATGTTTCTTTTAACCAGAAATACACGCTAGCGAATTATGGACAAGGCAAGTGTGAACAAGCCATAAGTATTTGGCGCTAAGGATAAAAAATGCAGGGACCTATAGTTTTCGGCGTTTCTGAGCTGCAAAGTTTTTATGAAAAGCTTTTTTATGACAGAAAATTATGCGGGGGTTAGCCTTTGCCGGCAATCGCTTTAGAAAAAACTTTTTGTCCTCGGGCAAGGAAATGAACCTGGGCCTTGCCATATGTTATGTAGTATGCACTTGTTATCGAAACCAATCCCTTGAGTATAAAGAACTACTAGCGTTAAAATTATTATTAGTGGCCATTACGCCAAACCATTACATAATAATATATATATAGATTGGCGCTTACACATATGTTAGTGTTTGGCCGAGCTTCTCCTCCAACTTGTGGCGTGCGCCTTGATATTGTCACACAAAGCGGAGGGACCTACAGTTTTACGCCGACTCCGAACGGTGATTGTATTTTTATGAGAAGCTGTTTTTCATGGCAGAAATACATAATAATATATACTTTAGTTTAATTGATCGGCTTCGAGACGTTCATTTAAAGATTTTTTTTTTGAAATTGAAGGGACTGCTTTCAACTATCCCCTACTGCGTTATAAATTTCTTAAATTAAAGGCGCTACTTACATTCAGCTCTCGGTCAAGACGATTAATCTCAATCTGTTGTTCGTGTATGGTCTTTTGTGCGGATCCCAACTCTCGTTCAAGTTGAGAATTCTGCGCATGTAATCTGTTGTTCGCTTCTAGCTCACGGTTCAACCGTTTCAATATTTCATCGTTGTTTTTTTCTGTAGCCAACTTCGCCTCTTGGGTCGACTTCGAAGAACTTATCGAATCATCTAGCTCATTACGTACTTCACGCAATTCCATTGTAAGGCGCGAGCGAGAATCTTTCTCATGTCTCAACTTCGAACGCATCTCTGCTAATTTTTGTTCGTATGTTTCACTTAATTGCATTTTATTTTGCTCGAATCCTTGTTTATCGGCAATTGCTTGATCTTTGATTTGCCGTAACATTTCCTTGTAGTTTTCCATTTTTTCTTGCAGATGCTTACATTCTTCTGTCTTGGCACTCAATTCAGTCTCGCGCGCATCTAGCTTGCGCACAATGTTTGACAATTCGTGTTTTTTCTCTGAAATCAATTTCTCATAACGCTGGTCGGATGCAATCTTAGCTTCTTCATACTTTTGGCGGTTTACACGTAAAAGCTCGGTTATAGTTGCTTCCTTTTTCTCCCACATTTCTTCTTCTACTTTAACTGAACTCTGTAGAGTTTTTATTTTAGTTTTGCAAGCTGCCAATTCCATTGTTTTCTCCTTGATTATATTCTTCATTTTGTTTATTTCTTCTTTTGCATCTTGCAATATTTTAGATTGTGTATCCGACTTCTTAGCTGTTTGCTCGGCGCGCAAAAGCTGTTGCTTGAGTTTATTGATTTCTTCAAGACGCTCCTTGAGATTTGCTTGCAAATCTTTTATTTTTGTGTTCAAACGACTGAATCGGGTGTCATCGGCAACACCTTCTGCATCGGCACTTTGCTTTGCCATATGCACGAAACTATAACCTATGAAGGGAAGATCCTTGCCGCTAAATTCATTTGATTGCATATTCGTGGTGAGTGACTTTTTTACGAATGTGTTAGTGCGTCTCTTATTGCGGATTACATCTTCAAAATTTGAAGTGTCATCGTCACTATTAACAGTTGGAATTATGGGTGGCATTTGTGAACGCACTGTTTCCCATTTGATGCAGTCGAAAAAAGGATGTTGACATATTTTTTCAAACGACAGACGGTTGGTTGGGTTAGTGACCAGGGAACCAATAAGATTTTTGTAGTTTTCAGATACTTTCAGATCTTCCGGAAAAGTTACAATCTCCTTTAAGTGACTATCTTCACAATGACTTAAAATCTTTGAATAAGTCTCATGAACGTTATCCTCATGAAAAGGTGTTACCTCGCAAATGAGTTCATAGCCAATGATTCCCAACGACCAAAAGTCACAGCTGACCTTAAGGAATTAAGAAATGTATAACATACATATGTATTTAGCATTTCAACTAAAATTTTCAAAAATACTTCATATAAAAATGTCTTTGCATACATAGTATGAATATCATGCATATATGTATGTACATATGCAAATTAATTTGTATTTTTAACTTACATCATGCATTGACTTCGTTAATTTATATGTAGAAATTGTTTGCAATAATTCGGGAGCTATGTAGTCAGGCGTTCCAACCGGTGATAAACTAAATACATGGCCATCCCGATCCAATGCCGCTGCATTGCCAAAATCTGCCAGTTTTATGTGACCAAAGCGATCAATCAATATATTTTCTGGTTTGATATCACGATGCACATAACCCATTTCATGTAGGGAATGAATAGCCATTATTAATTCAGCTAAATAAAATCGTGCAAGTTCCTCTTCAAAGGGCCCATTTCTAGACATAAGACTTAGTAGATCCCCGCCAGGAAGAAATTCCATTATCAAATACAAATTGTCGTTGTCCTTAACAAAAATATATGTGGATAAATATGTATGTATGTGATGTAGTAGGAAAACTAAATATTTTTTGAAAGCTGTCTTTGACACTAACCTGAAACGCGTATTGGAGATTTGTTATCCACTCGGAAGAACGACGAGCCATTATGTCGCGCTCTTCTTTCACTTGTGATGTAGTTATTACGGATTTTTTAATTTTCTTCATGGCATAGACATCATTTGTTTGCCTTTCAATGACTAAATGCACATTGCCAAAGTACCCCTTACCTATCAGCGTCTTAACTGAAAAATCGTCCACATTCGCACGCAGCTGCTGTGTCTCCTCTACTACTGGTCGATCTACAGATGTACATATGTAGATATGTGTACATATGGTGGATTTACAATTTTACAACTTTTTGTGCCCAACTTTACTCACATTTATTAACGAATTCGGCAATATTACGATCACGTTTTTTCAGCGGATCCTTATTGCATTCATTGTATAATAAAATGAATGCATCAAGAAGTCCTTCTCGAGTCACAGCCTCCATGACAGCAGGACTGACCGTAGCGGCGCCATATGCGCTTCGACGTCCGGCCGCTGCTATCGACTTCCTCTGAATGGCGCCATTACCTGCTGCAGCCGTAGCACCAGTTTTGTTAAGGATTAAGTTGTTCAATCGAGTTGTACGCACACTAATCGGTTCACGCTGTGGAGCCATTTTAAAAAATTACACAGTTTATTTTTCAACAATCACTTAGGCAAACAAAAGAAAATAACTTTGAACAGCTTTATACAAGATTTTTTAACATTTTCATCATTCAAAAATGTAGCAGCTGCACCGAAACACAAACAGGCAAACAACAAAAAGAACGCGAACGTTGGAAGTTTTGAAATCAAGAAATGCAGCGAAAATAGAGATGGAAAAGTTGACTCTGACTTTAGTAAAAATCGACTTTTCGCTGAAAAAACTCGACTTTTTGAATCGACTTCAAGCACCTTCGGGTTGACTAGAATCGACTATCGCTCGACGATTTTTCGCCTTTTTTCTACTAAGGCCCTGTGCCAATTGATAGAAAATAGAAAATTTTGACGGCTCAGAGTAAAAATTTGACACTTCTCGTGGTGAATACGAACGTCAGCTTATAACCATGTATTCACATAATATTGCTTGGCGGTAATAAGGAGTGAACATAAAAATGAAAGCTGAAACAGCATAAAAAAAGCGTACGTTACTTGCAAACTACAAAATAAATATAAATTTTAAGAATTTCAGCAACAACCAAAAATAGAGCTTTCGCACGAGCGTTTGTTTGGTTTTTCAACTGTCAAAATTTTACTTTGCATTTGGCACAGCAAAATTCAATTTATTTGTACACCATATCAAATTATTCCCCCCGTCTCACCACGGAGAAAAAAGTTACCGATTGGCACAGGCCCTAAGCATCTATTTGCGGCCGCTGGTTAGCAGTGCGCGCTACCACTACGCTGCTCCTGGGTTCAAGCCCTGGTCAAAGCAACATCGTAAACAAAATATAGAAAAAAGGTTTTTTCTTATCAGCGGTCGCCCCTCGTCCCTCCCAACCAAAGAACGTAAATCTACGTAAATAGATTTACCTTCTTTGTTTAAACGACGATATGTATGTACAAATGCTTTTTTTTCTTTGGTTCCCAAAAAAAGTAATGATCTAATGAAACCATTTTCTTTTATAAAGTTTTAAAGTTTTAAAGGTTAATAAAATATTTTAGAAACAAGCCCCAAAATAAGTGCATTTTCGGGTTCAATTGAAAATTAAAAAAACTAAAAAATAATTCATAGCCTTAAGAATCCTTTTTGATGCGATATTCTTAGTTTAGTTTCTACTTTTCGTAAATCGAAATATCTAAGCCCACTGACGATTTCAAACAATTACTACTTCTAACAAAAAATAAAAAAAATCAATATATAAAAATTAGCCAGTGTCTTGCTGTTTTAGACTGCGTTTCACCAGATTAATTTAAGTCAAATTTAATTTTAATTAAATTTTGTATTTAATTCTCAATTAATGTTTTACCAGTTTCAGATTTAATTTGTATTTACAGGGTAAGTTGCCTTTCCATATGTAAAAAGTTACATCTACAGATACAAAAACATATCGTCTAAAACAACTTTTACGAAACTTTATGTTAAAACGGGACGAATTCCTCTGGCAAACTCACTCGCTACATTTCACTCGGTACAGACTCAATGGCTACATTTCAGCGTGTTGTCCCTTCTTATGAATTTGCGTTCATTAAAATTGTAAAAATCGAGAAATGGTAGCGGTTTGTGGAATGCGCCAACTTTGCTCGTGCATAGTGCGTGTACACGATTGAACATCACACCATGTTGTTGTACATGTGTGATCGTGTAGTCCGCTGTAATCTTTGAACTCTACGATTAATCGATCTTCAATTTAATTCAAATTGTTTTCTCTATATTAAAATAAAAAATTAAAATCGGTGTTTGAAGTTCTGTTTGTCCATATTGATCCGTAAAGCTTTTGGTTATCCCTACATCCTTAGTTCTTAACCACAATGTTCTTAACTTAGTTTTGTTAAGTATTAAACTTATTATTGCAAGTGAAAATCGCATTGATTGTTAGTATTGAAGTGAACTCCAACATAGTCTGTACCACAAATATTTGCAAACTTCCGGGTTTTTCTAGAGGAGTTTAATATTTTATTCTGCTTGATTTTTTGGTAAGACAAACTTAAATCCTAAAATAAATTGTATCTTCATATCCGAGCGTAAACGAGAATTTTTTGCCTATTTGTACAATGGTTTTCTGTTGTTGGCGGGGGAGATGGGGTGTGAAATTAAAAACCCAACCCATTAGAAATAGCACAGTCCAAACTTAAGGAAAAGTCATCCCTCGCTATTTATAGTATTTTTGGAACAAATGCAAATCAAAAAAATATATGGGAATCGATAGATATCATAGAGACGAACATAACTATACTTTTTTGTTTGCAGAAAAAACTCCCAAGAGATCAAAGGTCAAAGTTAAAAACAGCATTTTTCGAAATCGAAGTTTCTCAAAATCCCATGGTTAGATTTTAAAACTTTGGGAAATGTTTAGTTATTTGTACAACGATTTTGCTGGTTGGGCGGAGGGGAGGGGGCCCGCTCTAAACGAAATAGGATGAACCGCGCTTTATGAGAAGCCGTCGCTTTCCCTCCTTTACTTTTGTCTACAAGTGTGTGTAAAAGTTTTTTGATTCGGTGTACAAATTACTAAACCGGACCCACAACTTTTGTTGTCATTTCATAGGAACTTTGATTCTCTTTAATTTGACATTTTACAGGAAAAGCTGTTTTCGCCTTTAATAAACCTTATGTGAACGTGGCGTACGGGAACAGCTTCCTTTAAAACCTGCAAATCATGGAGTACGGGAACAGGCTAATACTTTACAGTGTGGCGACGAATAACTGTTATACCGGCTTTTATTTTTTTCTGCAAAATAGAAGGGTTCTCTATAGATTTTGCGAAGAAAGTATTTTATAGTTAATTTTGTACATATTTTACTTCAATTTTATTAGTTAGTTTTAAAATTTTAATCCTTATATGTATTTGCGAGCAGTGTAAACGTTCGGAGATATTGTAGGTGAATTTTTTCTCAGACTTTGTACATAAAAAAAGGAAAAAATAAAAACTGTAAAGGGTTGTTCAAATTAAGGACCGTCCTAGAAACCAGTTCCGAGTCTATTCGATTACTGAGTATGAGGTCTTATATTGGAAAAAATGTAGAGTACCTATAAAGCACTCAAAATGGAGGAAATTAGCCTTTGGTTCAGAAGATACGGAATAAATTAAGCGGCGCAGACTTGCGTACCGCTTGCACTTTTCTCTCAAAGTGTTTAGTGTAAAGGTTACAATTTAAAAACAAATTAATAAAATCAAAGTACAATCTGGTAAAAAATTATCAATAACATATCTACTCTCTTCGCAACATCTATTATTTTTCTAAAAAATTTGGGTATAAAACTATCCACATTACAGCATAAATTACATTTTTTCGATTAAATTACTTCACATAAATGAAGTAAGTTCACATTTTCTTTCATAATTTCTACAGCACGTGTACGTACGAGTGTGTTTTGTACTTGATTTCAAAAAAGGAAATCGTTGCATACCTTTAGGCATTTCTTCAAATAGGGGCTAAAATAAATGAAAAGAGGAGCACAATATTAAACACAAAAATATGTATTCGTTCTTGAGAAATTTTGATTTCAAAAATTTTTTAATTTGCGCTTTGAGCTTTGACGACTACAGCAGCGCCATCCACATTATTTTCGCGCAGAACTCTCATCTTAATTAAGAAAGTGCATATTTCAAATCGAATTTATAATAAATAATTATTATTAATTGGCGGCCGCTGTGGTGTAGTGGTTAGCAGTGCGCGCTACCACTCCGCAGTGCCTGGGTTCAAACCCTGCTCAAAGTAACATCGCAAAAAATATAGAAAAAAGGTTTTTTCTTAACAGCGGTCGTCCCTCGGCAGGCAATGGCAAACCTCCGAGTGTATTTCTGCCATGAAAAACAGCTTCTCATAAAAATACAATCGCCGTTCGGAGTCGGCGTAAAACTGTAGGTCCCTCCGCTTCGTGTGACAACATCAAGGCGCACGCCACAAACCGGAGGAGAAGCTCGGCCAAACACTAACATATGTGTAAGCGCCAATCTATTATTATTATTATTATTAATAAAAGCTTGTCTTTAAATTTTTTATATTACTTGCTTTAATTCTCAAATTAATTAATTTAAAAATTTTATGACTAAATAGTATATGAGTCAAGCTTTCATTTGATATATAAATAAAATCCATCTCGATTATTTATTTAAATAATTGATTTTTTTCGTAATATCAATTTACCGAATTTCTACGCTTTCCACTGTATATTTGCGAAGAACTCCTCTTGTCTTGTATGTATATAACATTTGCTGTGCATATGAATATTCAAGATTCGGAGGGGTTGATATCATAGTATTTTCACGCAAAACTTCTTTCTTGTAAGGTTGGCACTTCCTTGTAAATCGTTACTTTAATATAGAAAGACCCGTGGGGTAGGGTCGTCGGTGAAATACAAAAATCCAAAATTAACTTTTTGATTCATTATGATGCATTTCCTCGAATTATAAGTCCCCACATAGTTCAATAAAAAATTTTTGTTGGTTACGCCTTTTTTGCATTTCAGCGACGATGTGAGATAGGGATTCTCTATATTAAGGTAACGAAATACATTTACATTTTGTATCACTAAATTATTAAAACTCACAAGATTATAATAAAATGTATATATATATATATATATACATACAAACGAAATTAAAGGTAATAACTCGGACTTCCTATATAACCAACCAAAATCACATTGAGTTCATATTGAAAGGGGGTTGACATTCACTCGCCGGTGAATTGCAGAACTTGCCTGAACGCAAATTTTTTAGCATTAATACTGCAATTTTTAAACAAATGGTTACTTTTTGGTATTTTTGGCTTATAAATATAAACAAAGTAAGTTAAGCAAAAAAACAAAATCGACTTCAATTCGCTTATAAAAATTTAAGATTACCGTTAATTGCTTCATGATGCAATGATCGGATCTAAACCAAATTAGTATGGGACCACCTCTGAGGTACCACTTTATCGAAATCGGTTGACGAGGTTCAAAGTTATGCGGTAACATACACTCAAAGAAAAAATTACCCCGAATTGATAATCTCCTCCTTTTTTTGAAGTCAGTTAAAAAAACATTTGAATTACATACGTCCATCGCATGAAAGACAAATTAATTATTTTTATTTTGGCAACACACGCTTTCTAATCGGTTATCTAGTTGTGAGATATCAATATTTCAAAATATCCAATAATTTCACTTAACCTTAATTT